CTGGTGAGACCCCACCTGGAGTCCTGCATCCAGCTCTGGAGCCCTCAGCACAGGATAGACGTGGACCTGTTGGAGCGGGTCCAGAGGAGGCCACAAAAATGATCAGAGGGATGGAACAGCTCTGCTGTGAGGATAGGCTGAGAGAGTTGGGGTGGTTTAGCCTGGAGAAGAGAAGGCTCTGGGGAGACCTTATTGCAGCCTTCTAGTACTTCAAGGGAGCCTGTAGGTAAGGTGGTGACAGACTTTTTATCAGGGCTTAGATAGAGCAAGCAATAGAACAAGGGGTAATGTGTTTTAACCAAAAGAGGGTAGATTTCAACTAGATATAAGGAAGACATTTTTGACAGTGATGGTGGTAAAGCAGTGGAACAGGTTTCCCAGAGAGGTGGTAGATGCCCCATCCCTGGCAATGTTCAAGGTCAAGTTGGACGGGGCTCTGAGCAACCTTATTGAGTTGAAGATGTCCCTGCTTATTGCAGGGGTGTTGGACTAGATGACCTTTAAAGGTCTCTTCCAACCCAAACTATTCTATGATTCAGTGATTCATAATAGAAAGTAGTATTTGTAGTGTTCTAATGCCGTTTTAAATATCAGTTCTGCTGTTGCAAATCATGTCTTATCCACAAGATGTCACTGGAGACTAAGGCTGTCTGAAAAATAAAGGAGCCACTGAGTCAATGGTTTTGGTTGTCCCGTGGAAAGATCTTTGATAGTTTTACATCCACAAAGTTACAAAATCCTGGAAAGTCATTTCAAGGGTAACTTTATTTGTTCTAAAGTATTGTATAAATCAGTACTAAATGAATTACACCTGAGATTGACATTGATACATTGATAGGTTACTACTATTGAGAGACATTTGATACTCTCTAAGGGAGTAGAGTATGTATGGATTTGCCATTGGTGTACTTTACACTTCTTTTTTCTTTTCTTTTTTTTTTTTTTTTTTTTTTTTTTTTTTTTAACTCTCGAGACATATTTTAGTGTCTGTGAGATGACAGTTCCTTAGACAGAATAACATTGTGGGAATTTTTTTGTTGTTTTTTTTTTTTTAATTTGTCTGGTATCAGTTCCCTGACATTTATTTAGACATACAGTGTTTTTAGAACTGATCTGTCACTGGTGAAAGGCTGCATCAATGAAGATGTTTAAATTGTGTTTGTACTTTAGCTGTAGTTGCAAGTAGAGCTCTAAAAGAACACAAGATTAAAAAAATGGTAGAAAACTTAAATAGGTTGTGAAACTTGCATTGACTAATTATAAGCTGCTATAAAAAATTCATGCTCAATTTATGTCCTTTTTAGTATAGCTGCTTTGTTACCTACTCAAAAACATTTTCATCAAGAGCCTCTTCAAATACTTACTTTGTTCTAATATGTTAATGCATGAGAGTGAACTTTGCACAAATCATTTTCCACTCAATTGAATGGGTTCTTATAGCTTATACAGCTGATCAAGATCACAGAATAATTAAGGTTGGAAAAGACCTTTAAGATCATCAAGTCCAACCATCAACCCAACACCACCATGTCCCCTAAACCATGTCCTGACTTGCCATGTCTACACGTTTTTTGAACACTTCCAGTGATGGTGACTCCACCACCTCCCTGGGCAGCCTGTTCCAATGCTTCACCACTCTCTCTGTAAAGAAATTTTTCCTCATATCCAGTCTAAACCTCCCCTGGTGCAACTTGAGGCCATTTCCTCTCATCCTATTGCTAGTTACTTGGGAGAAGAGACCAACACCCACCTCACCACAACCCCCTTGTAGGTAGTTGTAGAGAGCAATAAGGTCTCCCCTCAGCCTTCTCTTCTTCAGACTAAGATGGTTTCTTCTGAAATTAAAAATTACTTTTTTTATATTTTCACCGTATTTTTGAGTTAGTATGGGTTTTATTAGCACTTTATTAATAAAGAAGATCTATTAACGTAATTGTTTCTGGTAAGGTATTGGTAACAGATTATAGACTGTGCACCTAAAAAACTTTTGATGTGAAAGTTGCTAGTATAACACTAGACATATAGGTATGCGTTGTAGCATTCACTTCTGCTTGATTGATGAAAATGTGTTTTTTTTCCCAAGAGAGCTGTAACAGATTTTTTTGTGGGACTTTTCTCCCCTGTACCCTCACCCCCAATCTTTTTATTTCTTTTATATATTTAGCCCTAGGCTGTAATTATTTAGTAGAATTATTTTACTTACCCAAAATATTCAGTCCTCTAGTAAACATTGGTACTGTTTTTATGAGAAAACTAAAATTAAACAAATATTTAGGATCATTTTTTAGAACTGTTTTTATTCTGTGTTTTTTGAAATCTAGGTGCATATATAGCATATTGTGTTGAATAAAATAATATACTTGCTTGTAAGCCAGATTTCCAGATTTTAGCTGAATAATTGCAATGGTTTAACTATCTAGTCTGATGGTATTTGGCATGCTCACCTGCCTTCTAAGCTGACAATGCTAACAAAAATATTAATTAAGGTTGGTATTTAAGTGCAGGTTTGGATGGTGTGACTCAAAAAGCTCAGATCTTTAAATTTGAGCTTTATGAAATGGGTATATATGTGCTACTACATATGTATCACATGCTTTATAGTTTTTATTTTGGTTGATTACTCCTATGGGTCTATTAATATCTTTCACTAATTTCTGTCTTGTAGGTGACTGCGGAGATCACGTTGTCATAATAAATACAAGACATATTGCCTTCTCTGGTAACAAATGGGAACAGAAAGTATATTCTTCACATACTGGGTAACGTTTATAATAAATATTCAAATGAGCTAATGGTAAATTTTATGTCATATTTTCTTAATAGTTACAGTCTTTTTTAGCATATTGGTTCAAAAGGGAATTCCTACTTACATGTTTTGTTTTGTGTTTGCATGTGTTATGATGTTTAAAACGATGCAAACTTTTTTCTTCTTTTCTTTTCCCTTTTCTTTCTTTTTTTTCCCCAGTGTATGTTGTTAGAGAAATAATCTAACTCAAAAGTAGTCAGAGCAACTGAGTAAGTCAACAGGCTTGGTGAGCCAGATTGTTTTGTGTGGGGCCATGAACCAAATGATCAGGACTATTCTATTTACTAAGCAGTAGAAGACATTCCTATTGGCACTGCACATTTAAGGTATATATAGTTGCCAGCTTTAATTACTTTATTGTACCAGTACCTATCTACCTAACAGTAAATGTCAAGGTTGATATATTACTGAACAGAGGATGGAAAAAAACCAAAAAAATAGTAAGAAATGAGGTACTCTCAGGATGTACTGATATATACATTAGTGTATAATGTATTATTCTGGCAGACATAACTTGTTTACAGAAGGAAGTGCAATGATCAACTACAAATTTTATGGCATGATCAGTTCAGTCAAATAAGAATAGTTGCTCCCATTTTATACAGTGACAACACTAGATAATAATCTATAAGTTTTAAAATGTATTGAGTCAGGAGATTAATAAATTACATTGAGAAAGCTAATTTCGCTAGTACTGATATTTCAGTCCTGAAATTCCTTTGCTGAATTGCTGAGAAGCTCGTGTTCACAGCTGATGGAAATTAATGCTTTTTTTTTTCTCCTCCATGTCTATGACGTCTTAAAAATTTTCTCTAAAAACTTCTAAGTTAAAGAACTTGCATGAATAGCTAAGTTGGTTTTAAGTAAGTGAAAAGAATTGTGCAATTAAATATTTAAACCTGTGCCACTCCCTAAGTCTATATATTTTGATGATGTTGGGTTTATTTTCATTTCAGTTAGTCTGATACCTAGTAGTGTAATAAAATCAAAATGAAACCCAGCTTTACCTGACATCTGTGTAATTTCTTGTACGCCTGTATTCATTCTTGCACCAACGTACTCATTTAAATGCTTATATGCTTAAATGTGCATTAGCATGACTTAACCATATTACATAGACGTCAGAAAGACAGATGCATTGCAGTACATTTGTCTTTACAGGAAGTCACATTTTATTGCTGTAGATACAACGAATCACGCTAAGGTTTAGCTAAAATAGTAAGAAAATTAAAAATATGTTCAAAATGCTTGTCTCATACGTCAGTCACAGACTGGTTGTGAGTCTTGATCGTCTTGAAATGTTTCCAAGTTTTGCATATTTTACTCCCATTGTATTCTGTAGCTGTGATGGTGTATTTAACAGGCAGTATTAAAAATATATCCATATGCTCGTGAAACACAAACTCTTTAATACTGAAGTGAATAAATAAGAAAGTACAAATAGCATTAAACTTTGATACTTGACAGTATAGAATGTTTCTAATACAAGTTGGCCTCGTGAAAACAACTTCGTTTTTTTGAAGGCTTATAATACCATGGCACTTGTTCAAGATGTGGTGATACTTGTGTTAACATCATGCTTGAGCATATAGTGTTAAGCTTGTATGCTTGTTCTGTTTTTCTAGCTATCCTGGTGGTTTCACACAAGTTACAGCAACTCAGCTGCATTTGAAGGATCCAACTGCTGTAAGTGTTTCCTCTTCTTCCCTTTCATTCATTAAGCTGATTTGTTTTTTCCATTTAACTAGTTCCCCTAAACAAAAGGGATCAGTTACCTGCATGCCTAAAGCTAAATTACATTAAAAACGTTCTGCTAATGGCTCTTAAAAGCTTGGCTTCTGGCAGTGTTTTTGTAAACGGATGTTTTGAGGGTTAGATTGTAGATTGTGCATTTTCATGATTCTTCTGTGCTGTCCAAATGAGCAAATCAAGTTCATTTGCTTCACTCATTTTTGACTGATTCACTTTTTTAATTTCAGAGGTCTGACCTTTCTCATAAGCGAACTGCCTCAAGTTCGACTTAGCTAAGTTGTATTTCAGCTTAACAACCCTACTACTTTTTTAAGAGCCAGCAGGTCATGCTATCGTAAGAACGTTAGAAAGTACACCTGCCTCTTTCTACCAGTAAAATTCAACGGTAGGTTTTGTTAAGTGATTTTTTTTTTGTTTTAATCTTTTCTGCAATGCTGTGCGTTCATGGTCTGTGAAAAATCTTTTCCATGGTGGTTACATTGAACTTAAGCCTCTTTACTAAATGTCTGTATTACACTACTATTAATTCTGCTGAACATCAGTGTTGATGTGTTTGTTAGAGGTTAAAAAAACAGGGTGCTAGATATGAACATTTGGTTGACTTAGACAGTTGTGAAATTACTTTTACTAGGCTTTTGAATGGTCAGCATGGGAGGACTGAATTCTCTAAGTCCTAGTGCTTCAGAACATGGTATGAGACCTGTTGAGATTAACAGATACCTGTGTTTATTTTTGACTTTGAAATGCTTTGGCTTAGGTCACATTAGGTATATAAAATATATAAATGCTTCTTCCTTTTCCTAGAGAAATTTTATCTGCTGTAAAATTCTTGGGTTTTGTAAATTATTTTTTTAATTTCTGATTTAGAAATCCTGGTTTGTCCTAAGACTTTTATACAAGACGTTGTACAAGCACTCAATAAAAAAGTGGTCTGCCATATGGACTTGCCTGTTTTGTTTTTTTTTACTTTTGCAATTTCTTGCCTTATTTGAAGTGAAATGAAATCACACGGTTCAATATTATTTTCTGTCTAGAATTTTTCAAAACAACTTAAATGCTTTTGAGAACAGGCTCTAAGATAGTTGTAATTCCTTTGGGAGTTATTAGTAGTTCCATATCTAAAATGGATTCTTCAGCCTTTTTCATTTGAGCTTCCGGCAGACGCTGTGCACTGGGAGGCAGTGTAACACCACTTCTTTGTTAGGGCCGGAGAATTGGATGTTCTATAAATTACCTTCTGGCATTCATTCTGAAATACCGTTTTTCTTGCCAGACTCATAGATGAATTTCTGTGCAAACAGCGGAGGATTAAATGCATTGCCAATAACTAAAGCATGTTGGACAGAGGCTCAGCAGATGGTGATGTGGCTCAAGGCTTGGTCTAATTTATCTAGAGGAACTATTTTAGCCAGAATTGTGGAGAGCCCTCAGCAATTAACTCTTTCATTCTATTGAAGATGAAGCATTTGGATGTCCCTGTCATCTCTCATCTGTCTTTTTGTCGTAACTAATAGTAGTGGATGGTAATTTGGCATGATACAGAATGTATGTGTAGCTGTTACAGGTTTTGCCTTGTAAGTGATTCTATGGCTAGAAGCATTGATTTACTAGTGGAATTGTTTTGGTGTGAAATACATTGGGATATGACAAAGGTGGACATTATCATGGTGTTTTATTAACATGTTTTGTTTTTAGAACTAGTTACTAAAACCTGAAAAAGGATTACTGTAAAGAGAACAATGCCTAACCTAAGTAGCATTTGGATCTTCAAAATATGATCTAAATGATGCATACCTATTGTGGAGACTTTTATAAACCGCTTTATTTCACTTCTTTGAATTAAAAAGTGAGCTTTTCTTTTTTAATCATGTTAAATTCAATTTCTGTGAAGCCAGTGGAATTAGGTAGATTGTAGGAAGCAGACTGAATCTTTCTGCGGAATCAAAGTCTTCATTCTATAAAACATTGTTTTCATTCTGGAGGCTACAGCTTTTTCTCTGCCCTTGGTCCTATTGTCTCCTGATGGCTCTTCCTGCTAGTGCTTCATCAGATGAGTCAACATCTATTTGGAAATAGTGCTGTTACAGAGATGAAGAAGAGACTACTTCCAGGGAAAAGGATGTTGACCTAACACCTCATAAACTTGTGTGGTGTTACAGAGAGATTTTGCAATGGATACGACTATTTTTGGTTTACGTAAGAAATAGATTAAAGCTTTTAAGGTTTTCTGTGTGTATATAGTAGGATTCCAGTACTGCTTAGCACTGTCTTTACATTTGACTAAATTCAAACATACAAATCCCCAAGATAAATATTTCTCCACTACAGTTTTGTTTAAACATAGTTTCTAGTATACAGACAGACTGGTTTTGGGAAAAAGTGGTAGACAGCTAAGAGCTAATTAAAAAGGTTATAAATACTTTGATGCAAAATGGTATAGCTTATGTTTTCATGGGGGAGCTGAAAGTCATAAGTATACTTGTCAGAATTTAGACATGTTTACTGCAATATGGTTAGATAATCATCCTTGATCATTTCTAGTTCCTTCAGAAGGTACCAAGATAGGGATGGATGGATGGATGATGATCTGATATTCTCACTTACGGAGGTTGGCATCATTGTATCTGTCCTTCTAACTTTGGACCTTTATATTCATTGCAGGTAGTAGTTAGTGCTTCAGAAGGATTTGTGATGAATTTTGAATGTGCATGTGCATTTTTTCATGGGATGATTCAGACTGGAGAGAACCTTGGGAGATCTCTAGTCCAACGTCCTACTCAAAGCAGTGTCAGCTATTGGGTCAGATCGGGCTGCTGGGGGCTTATCCAGGCTGGTCCTGAAAGCCTCCCATGGCAACCATTACCAATCCTTGACTTTTCTTCTTAGTTGCAAAGAATAAAAAAATACCAACCGTGCCTATTATAAGTGTTTAATCTCAGATGTATAATTTTGTGCTGGAGATTGACAAAATATTACTGTTTTTTTCCACTTTTAAGTATCATTTATGTTAATATGGGGCAATGAATACAAAAAGAGGCCTGCATAGTTGATGTTTTATGTAGAACTTAAAGTTCCATGCTCATTGTGCCAAGTTTTTCAACACTTCAGAAAAATTTGTTTTTATGGAAGGGTAAAAATTAGTGTGTTGCCAAAAAAGATATCAAAAGTAAATAGTCTAGCACATTTTTACCTTTAGCAACTTTGAATTCCTTTGAGAGGCATGGGGAGGGGAGTGTCTTATGAATCTGTTTAAAATGTCTAGTCTTTTCAGTTGTCTCCTCTTCTGGAGAATAGCAGAGAATATCTCTTGTCTGTTGGACTTGGCCAGGCTGCTTTAGGAAGTGCTTATTGAAGAAAAAAACAGCTTCTTCATATTTCAACTTTTTCTTTCTCTGACTTAGATTTAGTGTAAATTCCTGGACCACCCATAGACAAGAGTGTTAAATATGTTCTTTAGGTGCAGTATAACAGCTGGTTGCTGTAGTTCGAAACAGCCTCTCTGTTCTTCAGGTTAATATAATACTAATCTTATGTATGGTATTACTACTCTCTTCGGATATATATTAGTGGACAACATTAATTTCCGTTGTAGGTTGCTAAGAAAAATCTGTTTGAAAGGTTTGGTGTGTTTTCTTTGCCAAGAGAGCAAAATGAAAATAAAGGAAACGGGTAAACCTTTTGATTTGAGATGCAGGTGTTTGGAATGCATAGAAGTTTCAGGTTTTCTTGTTTGTTTTTAATAAAATTTGCAGAAGTTTTGTTAAGCTGGAAAAATGCTGATAGGCCTGAGACAAACACTTTCAAAATTAGGCTTTGAAGTGCTTGATACAGGAAGGCTAAAAGATGTACTTTTAAATCTCAGAGATTTGAGAGGGAATGAAGATTATTTGGAAAAAACTTTCTGGAAAAATCTCATGGCTTTTAATTAAAATGCCTGCAGAGTAAGTTGACAGATCTGATTGGTAGAACGAGGTAGTAGTACTGTCAGGACAAAGGTTTCAATAAGTTTTTATTCTATTCCTAGTTTTAAAAGTAAGCAAAATAAAATAAAAAATGCAAAATGCAAAAAAATGCCCCCAAAACAGAAACCAACCCCCAAAAAAAAAAAAAAAAAAAAGAAAAAAAAAGAAAACAGAAAAAGAAAAAATCATATTTGGCTAATGCCAAATAATCGGTGAGAGGATTGACCTTTGCAGTATTCAGAGGCGATATTGCCTCTGACAAAGAAATAATGGGCAGTAATTGTTCCGAATGAATGTTACCTGCTAGGGAAGATTATTAAGTGAGGCAGGGTAGCTCTATGGAAATATGTTGTGAGGAAGCCTCTGGGGGTGTCAGGGTTCTGGCTTGTTCAGCTGCTGGCACGGATACGAAGGGGCTCAAAATGTTCTAATTCTCCTTTTGAATGCTCTTTAGCAACTGCTTGCGCGTACAGACTTGCCATTATATCTGCATAATAATGATCTTTTGAAGAAAAACTCAGACAGAAAACATGGTTAAATCTTGCTGTTGGTATTTGAAAGCCTATTTTCTTTGCATCAGTAAGGGATAGTTGATATAATAATATGTACAGATTAGAAGTCAAGTTACTGAAACACCAGATATAATAGCATTTTCTTTTATTATTATGGAGTAATGTTTTTTAATTAAGTAGAGCAAGACTTCAAAGTCTGGATTAATAGGCACACAGAAGTTAGTATGGCATGGAGAGGAGAATATTGTTACAGAACTTGTTATCTTAAAACCTCTGGGTGCTCTGAGTAAGTCTTAGAGCTGGCTTGGGTTTTGGCTTTGTAGCAGACAAAAATAAACATTTCTTTGTTTAAAAATACCTTAATCCATTTCTTATTTGAATTTGCAAAGCAAATTAATATAATGATTTAAAGAACACATTAAACTTCTAAGTGCTGAAGAATAGCAGAAAGCAAAGTGGC